AGGGATGACTGCAGGCCTGCGGGCTGCCGCCTGCCAGCAAGCACGCTCTGCTCGGCGTCGCGGATGTGGGGTAGCTGTAATTACCGCGCCGAGGCTCCCTGCCACAGCAGTGCCTGCAGCGCTGCGTAGTCCTGCGGCCACGAAACCCCGGCGCGTGCGCGTGTGCTGCTAATTATCCTGCTACCTGGGGACTTCCCATGCTTTGGCACGTTGGCCAGGCTGGAGGGGCCAGGAGATCGCTGCTCTGACGTCCCCTCTCTCACAGCCACCGAATGCCACCTGCTTGGCCCTGGCCACGGGCTGGGAGCCCCTCTTGGCTGCAGCATCTTCCACAAAGCAACCTCAGATGGGCACGGGGCAGCGCTGTGCCCCCCATCACTAGAAAGCAAACCCTTCTTCTCTCCAGCTTCAGCCCTTCTCTAACCCAAGATCACGCCTACCCACACTGAGACACAGCCCAGCCTGCTATTGCTGCTGCCATCGCTCTCCATTTTACCTCAAATACATCTCGGCCCTGCACCCAAAGGCCCCTTCTCTTCCCCCAAGACGCCCCCGGGCCCAGGCACCGCTCCCCTTCCACCCCAGCATCTTCACAGCTCCCCCCCCGGCTGCTGCAGCCTCCCCACGTTTCAGCGAGGGATGCAGGATGCCTAGCAGGCAGAGCAGTGACACAGACACAGACACACACACACACACACACACGAGCTTGTGAGGAGGACAGAGAGAGACTAGGGAGTGAGGAGAGATTTGGGGAGGGTAAGAGACCACCAGCGCCAGCCCATGTACACTGTGGCCCTGGGCAGAGCTGCTGTGAGGATGGCCCCCTCACCCCTGGCTGGCCACAGAGGTGTTTCTCCAAGGGAGAAAGGGGATGCAAGCAGAGGGGCAGGGTTACAGCAGGGCCCAGGACCCCAGCCCTTTGGGATTTACCAGTCTAGTGCAGGAAGGACCTGGAAGCATTTCTTGTTATGCTGGAGTCTCCAGAGCAAGGATCTGGTAGGCAGGGTGCTCCAGACCTGCTCCCTGCTTGCTATCCCCCCGCACCAAAACACTCAGACCCTCCATGGCCAGATCTCTCCGGGCAGTTTGGCACTATCCACCTGCAGCCAGCCCAATTCCTTGTGTCCCCATGGGTGATCCCAGCGCACCGGCCTGCCAAGGACCCCCTGTTTCTCCCTGCCCTGAGCTGCTCCCAACCAGGGGACACAGCTCGCTGCTGCAGGAGCGGGGACCTGCCCTGCACCCCAAGGCATTAGCAGTTGACTCTTCCCTCCTCCTCGCAGAGCCATGGGGGTGTTGATGTCAAGGCGGCAGACGGTGGAGAAGGTGCAGAAAGTCAGCTTGGCGGTGTCAGCCTTTAAAGACGGGCTGCGAGATCAGCCGTCGACACGGCGACGAGCAGAGGCCGAGGGTACGCGCCGGGGGACACTGGAACAGACAGTGCAAGAGGGAGAGGACGAGGCACCTGCAGGGCCCTCCCAGCCAGAGGAGAGCAGCACCAGCAAGGCAGCATGGGAACGGCTGCGGGACGGCCGGGGAGTGGAGCCGGAGGAGTTCGACCGGGCCAACAGGTTCACGCCACCCGCCTTCATCCGGCCTACGCGGGAGCTGCACGATGACGAGCCGCCGGACATCAGCCTGGAGCAACGGGAGCAGGCAAGCACCCAGTGCCAGCTCCAGCCGGAGCACAGCAACGGGCAAGAGGGACAAGGCCAGGGTGGACGTGTGCAGGGGAGAGCAGACATGGCAGCCCAGGGGATCTGCAAGTGTCCCTAGCACCCACCAGGCAGTGACAGCCTGCCTGGGCACAGAGAAGCTCCTCTGAGCAGTGCAGCATGGCCAGGCTCTCCTGGCCCGGAGATGGCTCAGCAGAGCAGGGTCCATGACGCAGGAGCGTTCCTTCTCCTGGGGCAGGACCTGGCAGCTGGGAAGGCAGGAGGTGCCATTCAGAGAGGAAGGTGCAACTGGGGTTTAGCCCTGGCCACCCCAGGGTGCCTAGGAGGGGAGGAGAGAGGAGGGGTTAATGCTGGGCACAGACAGCTCCAGCTTCGGGGAAGAGGGAAGAAGCATCTGATCTATAGGCTCGTCCGCACAGCCCAGCCAGCCTACAATCCTACCCATCCCTCCACATCTACAGCCCTACCCATCTCTCCACACGTACAGCCCTACTCATCCATCCATTCATCCACCCACAACAGGCCAACACACCAGCCAACCTACAACCCCACACACCATCCATCCACACCTACAACCCTGAACACTATCCAACCTACAGTCCCACAGCCCAGCCAGCCTTACCCACCCATCCGTCCATCCATTCCTGCCAACCCATCCACCCTCCTCCAGACCAACCCAGCCAGCAAGTCACCTTACTGACCCTTACACCCATCTCCGCCTGAGAGGCACTGCTCCACAGTGCCCTGAGCCCCCCACATTGAGAAGCCAGCCCCTCTGCCCACGCTGCTTTTCTGAGCATCCCCATGGTACTGAGACGGAGCTGCCCACCACTCCCCAGGTACTCAACGATGAGATGTGTGAGATCTGTGAGGTGTGGACAGCTGAGAGCCTCTTCCCCTGCCGCATCTGCAGCCGGGTGTACCACGACGGCTGCTTGCGCCGCATGGGCTACCTGCAGAAGGACAGCGCCGTGGAGGTGACGGAGACTGCGCACACCGAGACAGGCTGGAGCTGCTATTACTGCGTGAGTGCCTGGGGTAGAGGGTGCAGGGCTTCTGCTCTGTGGGTGCAGGGCAGGGCACGGAGGCTGCACTGGAAGCAGTGGGTGCTCCCTGGGGAGCTACGCCCAAAGTAGACACAAGCAGGGTCCCATATCAAGGCTTGGTCCATGGTGATGGGCACCTGCTGCTCCCTGGCTCCTCCTGCAGCCTGTCTTGGCCTGATGGGGAGCTGCCACAGGACAGAGGACACGGACCCTTTGCCACCTCCCCACCTTGGCACCCTCACCTGCAACCAGCCTCCCAGCAACTTGGCAAGAGGCCCTTGGGAGGCAGGGAAACCTTTCCTTCAGGGAAAGCAATGGAGAGTTTGAAGCAGGTCCAGCCAGCAGCTTTCAGACCAAATCTCTCCCCAGGGAGCACCTCCATCTGCCTCCAGGTTGTCCAGGAACTCAGAGAGACCGCTAGGAAATGCCCCTCCATTGCAGGCTCCCCCCTGGGGATTGTCTCCACATCTCCCCTGCTTGGGGTGCAGAGCCCCCTCACCCCCTCTCCTGGGCCTCTCCTCCTCCAGCTGGACCAACATACCACTAGGGCATGGTGACACAATGGGACATGCCACTGGGCACACAAGAAGTTGTGGCAGAGCTGGAACCATATCCAGAGGCAGATGGTGTGAAGCAACTACACTGCAGCACCTCTGGGTGATGCGAACCCATGCTGCCACCTCACGGTGCTACACTCGAGCACCCATCCCTGCAGGCAGCTCTCCCTTCCCAGGCTCAGATGCCCAGAAACCCACCCTGCAATTCAGCTGCGGCTATCTGCCCCGGGACACCATGCTTTGAAACACACAGCCTGGCACAGTGTGTGTGCCTTGTGCATGCCCACATCCACATATGTTCGAACACGTGTGAATGCAGCCATGCACCCACACAAAGCCCACATCCATCCACATGCATGCAAAGAGGATGGCTACCCTTGCACGCTAGTAATAAGCCCACGGGGTAACCTGGGCATAGGGGAGAGCCAGAGGGGCTCAGGGGAACGCCACTCTTGTAGGGATGAGGCAAGGGGAGTGCCCCCACATCCTGATGCTGCAGGAAGGCTGGGTGCTAATGCCTTCCCATGCATTCCTCCCTGCCCCAGGACAACCTCAATCTCCTGCTGACAGAGGAAGAGATGTACAGCCTGATGGAGACCTTGCGGCAGTGCAAGATCATTCCAGGTGCGGACCCTCCCCGTGGCGGGACGGGCTGAGCCCTCGCTCTCCCCTTATGCAGTCCCGGCCCCCGGGCTGAGCCCTGCTGCTCCAGGGTGGAGGTGTTGCTGCTCCCCTGACTGGCAGAAGGTAAAAGCTCTGCTAAAGATGGCAGCCTGTGGGGTCCCCTGTTAGCGCTAGAGGAAGCAGGAAAGGAGGGAAGTAGGGGGAGGGAGATGGAGGGAGAGGGAGTGTGCGTGGTGCTCCCAGGGACCTGGAGAAAGACAAGAGGAGAGAAGCTCTCCCCATAACTTTGAGGCTGGTGGAAGGGATGTCCCGAGTTGCCATGCCTCTGAGAACCACCCTGCTGCATGTCCCTAGCCTCAGGCCAGGCACTGGGCAGCTTCAGACCGCCCAAGAGCCGCTCTCCCCATCCTTTCCCTCGGCAGCGCTCAGAGCCCCATCACTGGGGTCTCCTGAGGTGCAGGTGCTGCTCACCTCTCCGCCTGCCAAGATCCACAGCAGGCTCTCCGGAAGACAGGGTGGTTTGGGGAGGCAGGTCCCATTCCCAGGGCATCACGCAGCACACTGACAAGGCACCTGGCTTGATCCTGCAGAGACTTGCCTGACTCTGGACGACTTCCTGCACTACAAGCACCTGGTGCACAAGCAGCAGTTTGAGCGGCCCATGGGAGAGGCCCAAGAGGAGCGGGCTGCCCTGCAGTTTTCCGCCCTGGACCCCGACAAGAAGGGGCACATCGAGTGGCCAGACTTCCTCTCCCACGAGTCCATCCAGCTGCTGCAGAAACTCCGGCCGCAGGTACTACGATAGCACGCAGGGGTTGGGGGTCAGCTCCCTGCCAAGGGACCAGAAAGGAGCTGGTTGCCAGCAGGTATCAATTGCAAGTCAACCTCGACCCCACAACGGGCTCATGACCCATCAGACAGGTCCCCCAGCCACCAGGTTGGTGGTGGCTTTCTCCATCTGGAGTGTGGGAAGGTGAACAGCTTGGGTATCGGTGGGACTGGAGCTATCCTGTGGTCAGCGGGAGGTTCCCCATGCCCAGGCCCTCTGCCTTGGCGCAAGCGCTCCCCATTCCCCTCTCCACCCCGCAGAACTCCCTGCTGCGGCTGCTGACAGCCAAGGAGCGGGAGAGGGCGCGCGTGGCCTTCCTGGCCCTTGACCAGGACAGTGACGGCTTCATCGGGGAGGGCGAGTGTCACAAGGCCCAGCACTCCTGGTTCCGGAAGCACCAAAAGGAAACGCCATCCTGCAACGTCAGGTAAGGAGACACAGCATCAGGTAAGCAGACACAGGCCCACAGGGGCATCTCTGCCCAGTGCAGCTCAGAAGCGCACCTCCACAGCCTGCTTTTGTGGGTCCTCCTTGCTGGAAAGGGTCCAGCAGAGCTTCAGCAGCCTCACGAGGGCTCAGCACGGGAACAAGCGTCCCTTCTGCCTCTTTAACTCTCCCCGCGGTGTCTCCTCTTCCATGGCCTGACGCTCTCCCCCTGCACTGCGCACCCTCCTCCCCTGGGCCGTTCGGGGTGGGCACATTGCCGCA